TAATGCCCCAGTGACCTCCCCCTCCATTACTAATGCCCCAGTGGTCCCCCTCCATTACTAATACCCCAGTGGCCCCCCTCCGTTACTAATGCCCCTCTTTGAGGTAATTATGAACTAACTGACACCCTGTGGGGGCGCGTGGAAGTGGCGGGAAAATGTGTGTGATTCGGGAAGCAGTTAAAAACCCGTGAATGAGCTTGATTAAGTTTTAAACCGAGAGTGCTATTCCATGGAGAGCAGTGTCGAAGGCCAAAAGCTGGCGGTCAGATCAAATAAAGGGGGAATTTAAACAAGACTAATGACCCGAGAGAAAACACCCGGTCCGGTTAACGCACGCAGGCGCTCTGAGTCCCGCGGTGCCACCCAATGCGCAGGCGTGTGCCCGGGCCCGGCACCTTGAGAGCAGGCGCTCTGTCGCGCAGTAGACCGGCAGCCAGCCGTCTAGGTGCGCATGCGTTATGACCGGGCCCGGCACTTAGTACGCAGGCGCTCTGTCATGCAGCGGGCCGGTGCCCGTCTCTTAGTACGCAGGCGCATATCCAGGCACACTATCACCAACATTGGACCAAGTCTAACATGTCAGGGCGCCAAGTTATAGGGCAGCATGTTTATTTGAAATCACAAGCATTTTGGAGCGCTGCTCCTTCTTCAGGTGCTGCCTCGAAAGCTTGTGATTTCAAATGAAACCTGTTGGACTATAACAAAAACAGAAGTTGCTGGGAAAGCTCAGCAGGTCTGGCAGCATCTGTGAAGAAAAAGTCTGAATTAATGTTTCGGGTCCAGTGATCCTTCCTCAAAACTGAGGGACTATAACCTGGTGCCGTGATTTTTGACCTTGTCCACCCCAGTCCAACACCTCCATGTCTTGATGTGACTGTAGGTATGAGCTGAATCTGCAGAAACCCACCTGTGACCAGCTCATAGAGTCACACAACATGGAAGCAGACCCTTTGATCCAACTTGTCCACACCTACTAGATATCCTAATTTGTTTAGTCCCATTTGCCAGCATTTTGCCACACCCCTCCAAACCCTTTGGATTCATCTGTCTATCCAGATGCCTTTTAAATGTTGTAATCGTACTAGCCTCCACCACTTTGTCTGGCAGCTCATTCCATGCATGCACCACCATCTGTGTGAAAAAGTTGCCCCTTAGATCCCTTTTAAATCTTTCCCCTCTCACCTTAAACCCATGCCCTCTAGTTTTGGATAACACAGTGTGGAGCTGGAGGAACTCAGCAGGCTAGGCAGCATCAGAGGAGCAGGAAAGTCAGTGTTTCAGGTCAGGACCCTCCTTCAGAAATGGGAGAGGGGGAAGGGAGCTCAGAAATAAATAGAGAGGAGGGATGGGGCTAGGGAAGGTAGGTGGGATGGTGATAGGTGAGTGCAGGTAGGTAGTGGTGGGGATTGGTTAGTGAGTTGGGAGGAGTGGATAGGTGGGAGAGAAGATGGACAGGTTGTGTCAGGGGGTGAGAGGGAGGATTGGACATGGGATGAGGCTGGGGGTGGGGAGATTTTAAAACTAGTAAAATCCACATTCAGGCCATTGGGCTGTAGGCTCCCAAGACGGAATATGAGGTGCTGCTCCTCCAGTTTCCGGGTGGCATCATTGTGACATTGGAGGAGGCCCAGGATGGACATGTCACCCAGGGAGTGGGAGGGGCAGTTGAAATGGCTTGCGACTGGAAGTTATTGTCGTTTGTTGCGAACAGAGCAAAGATGTTCTACAAATTGGTCCTCCCCCATTTCTGAAGAAGGGTCCCAACCCAAAATGTCAACTTTCCTGCTCTTCTGATGCTGCCTGGCCTGATGTGTTCCTCCAGCTCTATTTTGTGTTATCTCTGACTCCAGCATCGGCAGTTCTTATTACCCCTCTAATTTTGGACTCCCCTACTATGGGAAAACCCTATCCATTGCCCTCATGATTTTATAAACCTCTGTAAGATCACCCCTCAGCCTCTGACATTCCATGGAAAATAGGTCAGCCTATTCAGCCTCTCACTGTAGCTCAATACCAATAGTGGAGGTGATGGCCTCGAGGTATTAACACTGAACTGCTAATCCAGAGATCCAGATAATGTTCTGGGGAGCTGAGTTGGAATGCTGCCATGGCGGATGGTGGAATTTGAATTCAATAAATATCTGGAATTAGTCATCTAATGATGATTGTGAACCCATTGTCAATTGTTGAAAAAAACCCATCTGGTTCACTAATGTCCCTTAGGGAAGGAAACTGCCATCCCTACCTGGTCTGGCCTACATGTGACTCTCTAGACCCACAGCAATGTGGTTGACACTTAACTACCTTCTGGGCAATTAGGGATGGGCAATAAATGCTGCCTAGCCAGCGACGCCCCCATCCTGTGAATGAATGAAAAAAAAGCCTCAGCAACATCCCTGTAAACCTTATCTGAACCATTTCAAGCTTAACATCCTCCCTATAGTAGGGAGACCAGATTGAATGCATTATTCTAGAAGTGACCTCACCAATATCATGTACAGCTGCAATGTGACATCCCAACTCATATACCCAGTGCAGTGACCAATAAAGGCAAGCATAACAAACGCCTTCTTCACTACTCTTTCTACCTGTGACTACACCTTCAAAGATCTAATGAACCCACACCCCAAGGTCCCTTTTTTTGGCAACACTCCCAATACTCTATCATTAAGTGTATAAGTCCTGCCCTGATTGGCCTTATGAAATTGCAACACCTCACATTTATCTATATTAAACTCCATCTGCCACTCCTTGGCCCATTGGCCCATCTGATCAAGGTCCCGTTCTACTCTGAGATAACAATTTTCCCTGTCCAATACACAACCAATTTTGGTGTCATCTGCAAACTTACTAAGTATTCCTCCTATATTTACATCCAAACCATTTACGTAAATGACAAAAAGTAATGGACCCAGCACCGATCCTTGCAGCACACCACTGGTCACAGACCTCCAGTCCAAAAAACAACTCTCACTACCACCCTCTGTCCCTTAT